TTGTGATCGTCGATACTTAGAGGTTCAGGATTATTACTCCGTAAAGTTTTGGCTATATTTTTTATGTATGCTTCTGGATGATTTGGTGAATTCCAAACTATGTGTTTGCAACTGTTGATCATATTTGCTCTTTCTTTTTGTAGATTTATCGTTACTCTAGTTCTTACTGGTCTGTGGTCACTTTCTACTGATAATTTATTGAGTACAGTGACATCTTGAATAATTTGCTTTTTTTTCTGTTATTACATAATCATATTCGCTCTTAGTTCTTCTGTCTGGACTAGCCCACGTCCATTTTCTATTCTGTTTCTTCTTAAAAAAGGTGTTCATTGCATACAGTTTGTGTGCAGTAGAAAGTTGGTAAGCATTTCGTCTCTTTCGTTTCTTACTCCGATTCCAAAATCTCCGATTGACACTTCTTGTTCGTCCTTGTTCGAGTTTCCCGTTAAATCTCCCATTATCAGATTGTCATAAGCCGTTCCCTGCTTTTTTGCTCTTTCGATTTCCTCATAGAAGGCTTCGACAATTTTATCTTCGTAATCGCTGCTGGGGGCGTATACCTGAATTATTTTCAGATTGTGTCTCTTATTTAGTCTTAGATTTATATACTTAGATGGGGAAATGCAGTCAATGCTCTGTATATTTTTCTGTAATTTTTTGTGTATTAATAAACCTATTCCTCCAGTTGTCGATTCCGTTTCCCCTTTATAGTGGAATATGTTTCCTAATTTTAGTTTGACCTGATTTTCACCTCTTCTTTTGACTTCGCTAATTCCTATAATTCTCAATTCACATGTTTGAGTTCTTCCTCCAGTTCCGTCATTTTTTCATCCTTAGATAAGGTTCTTACATTATACGTAATTATGTGCAACGTTCGACGTTCTTGGTAGCCTCTTACATTACGGGGATTCTTCGCACCCTCTACCCACTACCCACTCCATGAGTCCTACCGCTACCTTGGTTGGGAACTAGAGAGCTGCCAGGGACTGGGGACCGTTTTCTAGAATGTCTGTTCATGCTGAGGGGGTTTTGGCATTTGGATTAGGGTGCATTCGGTTAAATCAGTTAATTCGCTTTGGCACAAAATAGATATTAGCAAAATTCATCTTGTTCGTATTGTTTTTATGGTTTTTGGAGGTTTAGTGGTATTTTTATCTTTTTTTCGTATTATTTACTTGTAGATTTAGGTTTATATAAATCATTGCAAGTATCACAATTTGATGATCCATATCTGTGTTACCATCAGTCCTAGAATATTTTACAGTAGACTATTTTAAAAAGCCGAAAGACGCTTCCTTTTCTATTAAGTAATGCATCTATCTAAATATACAAGAAAAAAGTTATAATGAGAGCTTTAAAAAATAGCCGTAAAACTTCTAGCTTCTTTAAAAAATGGCCGCAAAAGCTAGATTCAAGGCAACTATTTTTCTTTTAATTAAATGTACTGCTGCATAAACTTAAAACTGAGTAAATAAAAGTTATAGACCAATATTTGCAAAAAAAATAGGGAAAATGGCCAAAAAATGGTGTGCGTGGAGAACTTTTAATAATCGTATGTGGGATAATCTAACTCCTAAATACTCAAACCAAAAGTTTGAAAAGGAAGGACAAAAGTTTTTTTTATTCCTCATGGAAAAAAGTTGTGGTAAATCTTAATTTTAATATTTGATAAAAATAAAAAAATATATTTTTGAATTTTTTTTTACTAATTTTAAGACTTCGTAACATATTCTTAGTTACATTCGCTTGTCCGTGCCGCTATTCTTTGTAGCATTTTTATTTCACCTCTTATATAATAAAACACCTAAAACTATTCTTAATCTTTTTGCGACAAATTGATAATATAACCATTTTTAGTCTCTTGATAATAAAACAAATTGCTATTTCGTTAGATCTTGACTCCGCAAGGATATTGCGCATCAAATAAATATGACCATTTCTACTTAGGTTAGTGGGAAAGTGATGCGGGGAAGAGATTGATTTGGAGGATCAGATCACTCCTCGATGAACCACTGCCAAAGCAGGCGGTTTCATTATTTATTCTGGATTTTGTAGCCGTTAGCAAACGTTTTGGTTGAATTTCTTACCCAGCTTCTTCAGCCCAGGTTCAGTTTCCCTTTCCAACCTCCTATAAGCAATTATATATTGTTACAAGTAATACACGACGTGGTAGGCAAATTCAATTGCTACATCTTAAATGACCATATTAGGCTGCCTACAACGCACCTACCGCGTCGGTATATTTTTTATTTAGGTGTCACTAAGACGCTATAATAGTTGTATTATAGTCTTCTTCTTGTGGTGTTTATCCGATACGGATGTTGGCTACTAGCATACCAATTCTAACTTTATTGACCGTAGCTCGAAATAGTCCTAAAGTGGTCAAGAAAAACTAAGTTCTGGAGCCAAGATATTCTTCTTCTTCTTCCTGGTCCCCTCTTTCCGTAGACCTTTTTCTGTAATATAAGTTGCAGCAGGTTATATCTATGATTGTTTCGCATTATATGTCTAAGATATTCTAGCTTTCGCTGTTTCACTGTGGATATAATTTTACATGTTTTATTCATTTGACATAGACCTCAATGTTTGTTATTCGGTTCACCCAGGAGATCCTCGGTATCCGTCTATAACACCACATCTCAAACGCCTCGAGTTTTCCCATGGTTGCCTCGGTTAGTGTCCATGATTCAACTCAATAGAGCAGCACTGTAAACACGTAGCATCTTAATAAACGGATTTTCGTTTTTAAGGGTAGGTCATGGCTTTTATATATCTTGCTCATTATGACCAACGCTGACCTGGCTTTCTCAATTCTTTGTTTTATCTCAACTGAGTGGTTCCATTGGTTGTTTATGGTTGTTTCCTAAATAGTGGTAACAGGGCACTTTTAGTATTTGTTGCTGATCTACCAATAATTGACTGGGTGGAATATGCTTCTTACTGATGACCATGTACTTTGTTTTCTTGATGTTAAAATCAAACCCGTATTCTTAACTGATTCTCCACAATTGCGTTACTAATGTCTGTAAACCTTCTAAACAATCTGCAAATGGTGTCGTCTGCATATCCGATGTTATTCAGGCGCTCACCATTTATGGGAATATCCTCTTCGATATGCTTTAAGGCCTGACTCATGACGTATTCTGAATAGACGTTAAATAATAGGGGAGAGAGTATGCAACCCTGTCCTACTCCTCTCTTTACTGCAACTTCCTCTCATATGTAGTAAAGTAGTAATTGTAAAAAAAATCTAGGTATAAAAATTCTAAGAGTGGCTGAGAGTGGCTCAGAGTTTGTCAAATGTCAAGGATATAGTGGACTTTAGAAATTGAAGAGAAAGAAGAGAAATGTGGGTTGAAGAAATTATAGAACAACGAGAACTATCCATTGCCAAAGATGTCGAAAATATATGTAAACATTTTTTATGCAAGGAGCATAACAGTAAGACTATGACCTATCATATTAGGAAATATATATTTTTTTAGGAATACGATTTATTATGTTATTATGTAAATAATGTTTTATTTTCGTGCTTTTTTAAAATAATTGATTTGATTTAACTCAAGTTCTCAAGTCTGATCTCAAGTTTATAATTATTTAGAACTTTATATTAAGGATAAATATCTTTTGAATTTAATCTATATGTTTTTCTGCTTGCGACATAAAGTGGCAGCCCGCTCACTCTAGTGATTTTTAAAATTTAACCGATAGTTAAAAAGTGACATTTTGATAGTAAATTTAATTTTGAACAACTTTGTTGTAGATGTATATGTACGAAAACTGTATAGAATTCACCAAAATGCAGCTTAGTGCATAGTAACTAATTCACTTCTTTCTTAAAAACGCACCTCTTTAAATAGTAGCACTCCGCGGTTTTTTCTTTGGGGATCTATTGACCATATAAAACAATAAAACTCCTTTAACGTTATAGTTCTTTTTAGCCCTATTTTTTTGGACAAAATCAATAGCCTATATAACCCAATTATCCTATTTATTTATAATTCGACAGTGTTACCAAGCTTAATTTTATTTCAAACCCGCATATAAATAGGAGTGACTGAAAAAAATTTATATTAATTTCTTTTGAAATTTTTGATACATTTTCTCCATTACAAAAACGACGAAGCTCAAAGTTAGCCCGACCAAGTAAATTAAGAAGACGGTTTCAAAATTTTCAAGTGATAAAGGTTTAACGCTATCTTGATTTGTAGCTAGATTTATTGCTTTATTGTATCTTCTCTCAAATTTACGGTTCAAATACTCTCCAAATCCTCCCTCCCTTAGCTTTATCAGTTTTTCATTAAATGTTTCGATTAGAGGATGATCTCTTCTGAAAACCAAACTATATAATAAGCTCGAAGCGCGATCTCTCCCAAATACTAATAATAAAGATCGGCCTTGATTATCCAAAAAATAATCGGGAATAAGATACTGTAGCTGTCGAAATGCCATTGTAGAGACTAGATTTTTTTCTGTTGCTGTCATATTTAAACAATCAAGATAACCACCACATGGTTTTAGTAGATGGTTTTTATAAAGAGCTGATACAAATGGTATTGTAGAATGTTTAAAGACTTGTGCAAAAGACATATCACGGATGCCGACTTTTAGTTTATATTTTAAAATATCGTCTTCGCTCTTATATAATTGATATGCAAAGCCGTCTTTTAATATAACAAAAAGCTTGGTTTTGTATGCAGTAGTGAACATTGTCGCAAATATTAAGTAGACAATAAATAATGTTCTATAAAAAAGATTGTTTGCAGAAATATGTGCTGAACCCTCCAATAATATACGCAAAAGTACAGTAATTAAAGAGACTTTCTGTTGGCGGGGTACGATTTTTGCGTTTAACCAAAAAAGAAAATACAAAAAAAACAAAAGAATTAAAAAGCAGAACCACACAGATAGGGTAAATTCTTGAAATATAAGTTTTAAGTAGTGTGTATTTTCTACCCTTGGTAAAACCATTACCCAATGATCTTCTGTTATGAAGTCACTTAGTGTATAAAAATATTTATCAGGATTCATTATAGCAGTAGGCGTTGCGTATAAATCATAGTTTCTTGAGTTAAATTCCTCTACTACTCTAGTAGAGTGACTAGGTAAATCAGTTTTGTAAAATACAGGTTTAATTTTTAAATTTTTTGCTATTATTTTGATTATATCTATATGTATACCCTCTTCGGTACTTATAACATAAGGTGCCGACAAAGAACATAAAATTTTCATATTAGTGAAAGATTTCTTTTGTAAAGAAATTTTTAAGACTTTAGTACCATAAGTTAAGCACATTTTAAGAAATTTTACGGTATATAGTTCCTTAACTGGTTGTTCTTTCGTAAGAACATTTTCCGTTGAAATATTAACAATATTTGTAACCATTATAGCATTTTGTATGGAATAGCTTTTAAAAACTTTTATAATGTTATCGTCTACTAGTTCTGAAACAAAAATATATAAAGCTCGGGGATTAAACATGTTTGTCTCATAAATTTCATGCACATTTGTTGTGAAATTACCGGATATGATGTACATATCAGGTAAAGTTGGTGTTATTGTAAAACAATTTAGCTGTTTATCTGTGTTATAATTAATCGCTGGATATGATATCTTCAGATCAGTGTTGACTATATAGATTCGATCATTCTTGGAAAATTTTACAGATAATATTTGGTCCACACACTTTTCCAAAGCCTTGGATAGAACATCACCTAGGACAGAAGAAATTATTAACACAATTGAATCGGTTATTTCGAAAAGGCCACATCTCCATTAATTTCACAAAATGAGTTAACTTCGCCATTTTGTTCAGAATATCCTTTAAACTGTATTACACGTGAAAACGCCACATCTCCGCTGTTCGTTACTATTAATCTTGAAAGGCGTATTTCTCTGTTTATTTCGAAAAGGACACTTCTCCGGATATGTGGCGTTTTCGAAACAAACTGCACGCACCGGACATGTGATTTAGGGGTTACGGTCGCAGACCTTCCTTGTTTTCTAGACCGGTTGACGATTGTCTTTAGTACGATTAGGTTCCAGTGTGTATTGTTTATACAAAAATGAGTAGCTCTGATGGTGAAACCAGTGTCATTATTGAAAAGAAACAACGGAAAGGAAAGAAAGGTATTATTAATCGGGTCCTGTATAAAAGGGAAGTTATTAAGAAGGCTAAAGTTAAGGGAAAAGCCCATATTAATCACGTGGGCAAACAAGTTATGGCGTGAAAAACTGGAATCAACTGTACTTGTCGCAAGAAGTGTTGTAAACATTTTTCGGAAATGGACAAGAATACGTTGTTTAGGTCGTTACATGACTTTGATAACAAAACTCACAAGACTCATACTTATAAAAAAATATGATCGAAGTAACTCCCATTAAGAGAATGAGAAAATCTCATAATGTCATTAAACGTATTGAGAGACCCAATAATTTTTTGTTTCATGTTTATTTAAACGAAGTGCGTAAGCAAGTGTGTGAGAAATCTTTCTTAAGTTTATAGGGTATTTGCGAAAAGTATGTCAGAAGATTATGCCACCTACTAGTGACTGAATCCACTCCAAAAGATAATAGAGGTAAATCTGTTAAATTTAAACATAATAAAATACCAGATGAATTGTGTTTTCAAATACGTGCGCACATACAATCGTTTGATGTAAAAGAAGTCCATTATGAAATATATATTAAAAATTTATTTACCTGCTATTTTGGATGACAAACAAATACATAAAATGTTTATCAAAAAATTTTCGGAATCTAAAGTGAAATACAGTTTTTAGTTGAAGTATTTTCATGAAAATTTTACATACTCTTTTGCTCGTCCTCAAGTTAATGTATGGTCTGCTTGCGAAGAACTCAGCCAGAAAGTTAAAAGTACCACTCTCAACGATATTGTAAAACGAATTGCTGTTGCAGAATAGGGCTAAGAAATTTTATAAAAAACTAGAGCATATTAAAAAAAAAGAGGTTAGTCTTCGTAAGTGGGTATATTTATTTAAAAACCCTTAAAAGGGCTTCATAAAAAAACAAACGTTTTTGGAATAAACAGTCCATCATCAGGTTTAAATTTCAAAATTGCCTAAAATAAATATAAACCATTTAGATAAAACAAACGTTTAAAATTTAAACCTGATGATGGACTGTTTAGTCCGAAAATGTTTGTTTTTTTATGTAGCCCTTTTAAGGATTTTTAAATAAATATACCCACTTATGAAGACTAACCTCTTTTTTGTGATACGTGGTATACAGCCAGCTACAGGAATTGTTTTCCTTGTGGATTTCATATTAAAAAACTTCCCCATGGATTATATGCAAATTTTTTATTATCGTCAGTTATGGGTTCTTAACTTAAAAATAGGAGAAGCTAAATTTTTTTTCTATTCAATTTAAAATTCAATCACATTTTTTATTATTTTTCATTCAGAGGCAACTCATTCCTCTCGTGCATTAAATACTTCGGGGTAGCAAAAAGACTCATTCGTAAGCAGGACCGAATTTTTCTTCCTGAAGAATATTACGTATTGATAAAAAAACTGTCAAGAAAATCTCTCTTTTTTTATAGAACTGGTAAAAAATGAAACAATTTTAGAATTCAAAAAATGGTGTCCCATGCATTATAAGAAAACCGTACTCTCCATTAACTCATATGGAAAAAAACCAAACATGAAAAAACAACTTTTCAAATTTCTCAATATAATAAGTTCGAATATGACAACAAAAAACCGAAAATTGTAAAAGTATGTCAATTTATTGATGGGCTTATGTATCATGAATTTTGCTTGGGAAAACCAGCTGGCATTTGTCCTAATTTGCCAACAAAGACAGCTTAAACAGAAACAATCTCTATTAATTTGAAAAAAATGGATTTGGATTTTTTAATGAACTTCGTCATGTATCACATTTTGAGACTTTACTCCAAAAAGAGATGTATGTCTTCATTAATACCAAAATGAAACGTTTTTTTTTCGTTTCCTGTAAAATTAACATTTTTGGAGTTGTGGCCTTTTCGAAATAACCAATTCTGTTTGTAGTATTGCATGTATTTTACATTCAAACATATATAACAAATGTTTTAGTTTATTTTTCTACTTAGCCGTTCGCTTAATCAACGCAATCGTTACAACGATATTTTAAATTACCAATGGGGTCATGAATTAAATTTCCTGAAATTTGATTATATATCTTTTTTCCTATTAGGAAGAATAAAATAATTTAAAATAAACAAAAGTACTAAATAATAGGATATAAGAGAATTGAAAAATCCCGACATCATGAAATAATCTTCTTCTTCTTAGCCTGTCGTTTATTTTTGGACAAAAGCCTTTCTCAACTCGTTTCATCGATCTCTTGAGCGACATTTACTTCCAATTTGTTCTAGCTGCTTTTTATGTCATCTGTTCATCTCATTTGTGGTCTTGCTCTTAGTCGTCTACATTTTTAATGTCTCCAATTTTGTATTGTGATATTCCAACGTTGGTATTTTTGTCTATCAGTGTGGGCTGCGAAACTCCATTCGAGTTTGCCAATTTTTGTTGTGATATCCTTAAATTTTATTTTTGATCTTACCAATGATTTCTGTTTTAATCCGATTGTAGTTAGTTTATTTATATTTTTGCCTTCGTTAGTGTCTAGGTCAAAAACTAATCCAACAAATCAACGCAAATCTTTTAGAAATGGGAGAAGAAATCTTAATATCAGACGTCCCCTGAACTAATTAAATGCATTAACGAATAAACAGTGCATAAACTTTTAGCGCTGTTCAATAAAGTAGACACAACAGGAGTAATACCCGAAGATTGGTTGCTGTCAACGTTTGTATCACTACAGATATGCTGCTTCCAGTACAGAACAATTTCCTTAATAAGCCACATACTTAAGATATTTCTCAAAATATTACATGCAAGACTATAAGAAAAAATAGAAGAAAATATAGATGGCACCCAGGTTAGATTCAGAGAAAGACTAGGAACGAGAAAGGCTCTGTTGGCTTTTACGTTTTCGCGCAAAGACGACTAGATATGAGCCAAGATCTCTATGTCTGCTTTGTAGATTATCCAAAGGCTTTTGATATAGTGCGATATTAGAAACTCATAAAACTGTTAAAAGAAAAAAATGTGATAGTCGAGAGATATGAGTTATTGTCAATCTGTACTGGAATCAAAAAGCAAAGGTTACAATCGCAAATATCGGTACAGAAACTATAAAGGGTTGCGTGCTGTCTCAATTGTTATTCAATCTGTACAGCGATGCTATTTTTAAGGAAGCAATATCAGAGCAACAACAGAATATATTAAAAAACGGAAAAATATTAAACAACATAAGATTCGCAGACGACACCGCTGATTTTGCAGGCAGTCTAGAAACACGGCAACGCTTAGTTAACAGACAGCATCAAGTGAGTATAAAATATGGACTACAAATAAACGTTAAGAAAGCCAACTGCATGATTATTTCTAAGCTACATACAGTAGGAAATCTAGATATGAAGGGAAAACAAACAGAAAAAGTAATTAACTACAAATATCTGGGAACCTGGGTAAATAAAAACAATGACTAAGGTAGAGAAATAGGGACACGCATTTAAATTGCAAGACAAGCATTTATAAAAATGAAAACAATGCTAATCGATACCTTCCTCTGGAACTGAGGATAAGAGCCTTAAGATACTACGTGTTCTCTACTTTGTTGTGTGGAAAGCTGGACAATAAAAGTGGATAATATAAAAAAGTAGGAATCATTCAGTAGATCTTTTCAGAGCAGCCGTCAATAAGGTACTGATAGCTATGATGATAGCCAACCTCCGATAGGAACAGGAACTATAAGAAGAAGAAGAAGTGTCTAGGTTTGAGATCTATAGATCATGATAGAAGGATGCACTGTTTGAACAATTAGCTCCGCAAATATTGTGGGATTTTGTGGTTTGTAAGTATCCAACTTTTCTAAATCCTGCTCACGCCAGTCTTGCCCTTCTAGTGATTTTCGCACTTTAGTTCCCTTTGTCAAGTTTCAGAATAGGCTAGGTAGCGCCTGCGTTTGTCATTTTTTTATTTTTGTCATATTCATTTTAATACCGACGTATTGGGAGCTGTCTGCGGGATCCTCCATCATAATTTGTAACTCATCAAATGTATTCGCTATAATCACGATGTCGTCAGCGAATATGAGGTGGTTTAACTTGTTGCCGTTAACGTTGATGCCATATGTTGATTAATTTGTAGTTTTAAAGACATTTTCTAGAGCTAGATTAAAAAACTTCGGCGATATTACATCGCCTTGTCCACAATTAAACAATACCATCATGCTAATTATGCATAAAAACATATAGATCTTGAAGTTCATTTATGTATTAGCACTACCGATTGTGTATTGTATCACTTGTTTTATTTTCAGTAATATGTCTTCGATCTGTTAGTCTTTCTATTGTTAGCAGGTATACTATTAA